AAAAGTAAACGCGTTACTTGTAACGCGTTACTCCTAACACTGAGTATATGTATCACCGTTTGCTAACATACTTTGTTAGTAAAGCTTAGAGCATAAGGCCATCGTGTTTCCCTCTTCTGTCTTTGTTTTGTCTGTTGCAGTATTCATGAATGTTTCTTGAATATTCCTTCAAAAACTCTAAGGACAGGATTGAGTGTCAGAGCTTCACTCACAAATTGCGGCAGCATCTGTTTCATCCACAAAGTCGTGGGATTCGAGGGTTATAAAAATACCTAATAAAAACAAGCCAATGAAAAATACAGAAAACGATAAGTCCTCATTCGGTCTCTTATTTTCTCTATTTCTCATTCAGCTCCATTCATGCCCTCTAGGTTTCAATCATTCACACACTGCTATGGCAAAAACAATTATCATTCCTGCTTCATCTGAACTACCATGGCAACAGCTTACTCATGTCAGCCAAGGAAAAATGAGGATAGCCTAATATCCTCACTGCCAATTAGCATGAGTCACATTTATAGATTTACTATTCCACTGAAATCTACTTCATTTATTTTAGCCTTTTATTAAGCCATCATTTTGTGAAACATTTTTCTTTATCAACCTAGTATACAGTATCTCTCTGTTAAGCAGAGAGGATGATCAAATGCTACTGTTGGTGAATTGCTGTAGAGTTGCCATATTTATCCACATTTATTTCAGTTGTCTGGATTTGTTTTGGCGGAAGTCTTAGTTTACAGGAAATATTGGTGCACTCTCGTCTCAAACTCTATTACACAGCAGCAGGAGGAGGCCAGACCCAGCAATAATGACCTCCTCTGCCATTAAAGGTCTGCTCATAAAGGATGTCAACGTGTGCATAATACCTAGGTAAGTATATATTTCGATTAAAGGACATCAAGTTTCATATGTAGATTTTTCTGGTCCTTGAGTTTGCTTGTTTTTAAGGCAACACGTTAATTTCTTACATAGCCCACTAGTTCCCAATTGTTCTTACTTACTCCACAGTGAAATGGATCATCTGTTACAGGAATACTATTTATTTTTAAGGGATTTGAGCCAAAAACGCAGCGGGACACTGCCCTAACCAAACAAAATCCCTCGTTCTAAAAACATACTGGAGAAAATTGCAATTTAAATCACACGTTTGAGATTATTTATTTATGTATTACTGTAGTTGATTATAAATAGACAACACAATCTATTATGAAATCAACTTACCTTACACTGTTTGTGATTCTAATTATTTTCTGTTTGTGCCATAATGTTCTTTCAAAAAAGAAAGAGAAAACAAGATATAAGAAGAAAGTTCTTAGTCAGCATACTTTACTCCGAGTCAGTGTATTGTGTCTTCAAGAACACCTGTGTGACATTTTGTGAGTGCTGCTGTGTCAGATTCAGGAGTCACGTCCCAGCGAAGGATTGGACACCTGGTGCACTTTTGTTTCATGACAGCAGATGGGGAAAACCTTTGATTTTCATCCCCTGGGTCATTGTCCTCTGCTGTATCAGATCATACGGAGGGGCGAGAGGAAGGAAAGGTGGAGTAACTAAAGTGATTTTAAAAGTTGTTTATGGCTATACAAAAAGCAGTGAGCATTAGGGAGCTGACCGTTCTTATTAAACAAATAACAACTTGCTGTTGTTTTCAACATTATTTTAGGCAGGAGTACATTTATGAATATTTTATACAATTTTGTAGGGAAGTCTTTTTAAGGGGGAGATATTATTGAAAGATGCATGCAACGCCACTATGTTTGATTTTGAATGTAGATTTAAGCTATTCAATATTTTCCAGATCTAAAGCATGTTGTTTTTTCTATCATATAATGGTGATAGATAGCACACTTTGTATTTAGCTTTTCCCATCATTTTTCAAGTTAATTTGCTGTTTGTAGATTGCATGTTAATCTCATTGTTTTTCAAACAGTGACCTTTCACGCTGCAAATGAGGAGCTTAATCACTGTCATCTGAAAGGACACACTGCATTGTTGATGTTCAATGCAGCTAACAACAGCATGATGCAAAGGAGAGACTTGCTACAAGATAGAATTGTCTTATATACTTTAGCACTTCAACTAATGGAGAACAAAATGAGCAATGTGAGCGTTAGTGTATTAATCCTACAGGCTGTTCTTTTGCCAACTGTGAGGAGGCACAGTTGTGTTGCTGGTGCAGCTACTCTATGCAACACCAACACTATGCTTTATGCTTTTTAAATAGTTTACACAAAGTAGGACAACAGATTCTCAGAAACAAAAAACCTGGCCTGACCCGATGATGTGCCAATGACTTGTGGGTATAATTGAAATGGAAAATACACAACACCTTGTAAACTGGGTGTCCCATTCTTCAGAATTAATGTTTATTAATAAACTACACTTTAATCACATACATGAATTTGTAACCACAGTATTGCGTTGCTAGAACATACCTCTTGACTTCTTCTCGATAATGACAAGACAGTGTGACATTATTGATCCCTGTGGTCTGTGCAGCAGCAGATTCAGCTGCACAGCAATCAAATAACTGAACTAGATTAGCATATTAAGACGGCGAGATGAGGAGCCTGGGTCAGGTTGCTGGCCAACCTGCTGCATTTGCAGATGGATTGTTTTCAAAGACCATCCCACGCACTCTCGCTCTGTTTCTTTAGCTACCACCGCCCAGGCATCAGCTTGATTTTGCTCTGGGGGATTTAAGTGTTTGCTTTATTTTTCCTTTGGACAACCCCAATCATTTGTTATACACACGTTGTTGTATTTCTCTCTTAAAGGACTTTTTGTTTCCAGTGTGGGGATTTGAAGTGATTCCCCCTTGATGTTTAAATGTTAATGACAAGAACCTTTTTTTATCAGAAACATCATTTGTTGAAACAAAATAAATAATCAAATGAAGATGGGTCACAAACAGTAAAGGAACGTTTTGGGGGAAAACATGACTCAGAAGAACAGCTAGTATGGATTCTACACCAATGGACCAGAATACAGTGACTCACTATCTACGTCACTTATTTGCTTGTTTCTTTGAATAAAATGATACATAAAAAAGAGCAAAAGGTAAATTGTTGGCTTTTTTTTAGAACAAGACAATCAGATTATTAAAACTCTAGTCATTGTCTCTTATTCTGCTAATCAGCAATTGAATTAACTTATAATTACCACTCTTTGATTTTGATTTGATATACTTTATTAATCCTCGTGGGGAAACGGTTTCTCTGCATTTGACCCATCCTAGTGTTAGGATGTGTGCTGCCATTTGGAACGGCGCCCGGGGAGCAGTGTGGGGAACGGTGCCTTGCTCAGGGATACCTCGGTAGCACTTGGTCTTGCCGGGACTTGAACTGGTGATCTTCCAGTTGCCAAGCCAAGTCCCAATCGACTTCGCCACCACCACCCCCACTCTTACCTGGTGACTGAGCCATACCATATGTTTCACAACATGTTCACTCATCATTGTGTTGTCCACTCATTTATTCAGCTCTTTAATTCTTCACCTATCTGTAATTCGGAGCTAAGAGAAATCTTGGTAATAAGTCAGTCGGTCCACTTGAGCCATACACTTATCTCTGGTAGTGATTCCAGTAAAGTGATCTGGTGGGGGACAGTGAGCTGGCAGCTGTATGAATGTGCATAGCTGGAGTAAAGCGGGGCGGTGCCGAGAAAGACTATGCATACTCAGCAGAACCCTTTAGGATTACTGCCTCTGTGTCATACAGTCTGCTATTGATGACACATAGTGATGATGAAGCACAGCCCAGGAACGCTGCTAGATGTTCCTGTGCGGCAGCAGCGGCCACCGGGAAGGCTCAGCGGTGCAGGTTAATGATTTCCCCCTCAGTGAACCTGATGTGGAATAATCCTGTAAGAAAGAAGAATAGCAGAGTACAACCCCTCAGGACACTGCCCCCTCCCTCTCCTCTCCTCTCCCCTCCACCCATCCCTCTCTCTGTCTATGCTCCTGCTCTCCATCCCTCCCTCCATCCTCATTGTGTCTGTAGCTCACCGGTGTCAGAGCGGGGGTGGGGGGACTTTTCTGTCACCACAATGAGTGTGTGAGTGTGTATTATGAAAGACAAATACAGCGTGTGGGTGTTTGCATGAGCATGCACCTCCAAGCCTCACTGTACAGTAATGGTTTTAAATGTAGCTGTGGGGATTATGTATGCCCTCTCATTAAATTACACTGTGGCCATAAAGGGAGAAAAAGGGGAAGACAGAAAGAGAGGCAGTTTGCTTTGCCTGCCACACCCGACCCTCTTGCTTCTCCTCCTACCTTCATCCCTTCCTCTCCCCTCTATATCTCTCTCTCGCATACTCCTCCTCTGCTCTTATGGTCTATCTGCTGGTGTTTCCATGAGAACAGAGCGCGCTGGGTATGCGGGGGGTTGCGGGTGACGTGTCCTAAGAGCACAGAGTGAGTGTTTGCGTGCGTGCATGCATTCGCCTTGCAATCATCACTGCTCTCTTTCACACGTACTTCCTGGCTAGAGATGCTGCCGGCTGAGCCAGAAAACATGCTTCTGGCATGTTGGTGGCAATCTGGGCCCAGAGCACACAGACTCATATGACTGCGCAGAGATCCAGAGAGTGTATAACACAGTAGCCTGGAGCCTCAGCAATAAGAGGAGGCGACTTATTGTTCTTTTTTTACAGAAATGTGTGAGAAATGGGAGGGGATGAAACAAAGGCATAGTGCCGGGAGAAACACAAATAAAGACATTAAAAAAAGGATGCATCAGAGCAGAAATTGGAAGTATCCAGTCAGTCAGTGAGCGAGAGCCTTTTTAGGGTGGGGCCGCAGCTTTTGCTAGAGCTAGGCTGAAAGAGAGGAGGAGGAGGAGGAGGGTGAGAAGATGTAGAAGAGAGGAGTGCTGATCTAAAAGAGGTTGGGGGGTTCATCACTGTGCAAGAAGAGGAGGAGGAGGAGAAAAAGGAAGAGGAGGGGGGATAGTGTGAAGGGTAGAGGGGAGGAGAGAGGGATGGAGGGAGAGGGGAAGGGAGGGGTTTAAAGGGTGGGCTTGTAGTCATTGTCAGGCTGCGAGTAAGAGAGAGAGAGAGAGGTGCGCCCAGGCAGACCGACTGAAGAGCGTGTGTGTGCAAACTGGGATGTGTAAATGCACTCGGCGACTTAGCTGTTAATACAGCCAGAAAGAGAGAGAGAGTGTGTGTGCGCACGAAAGCGAGAGAGGGCGAGAGAGAAGAAGTGAAAAGGGAAGAAAGAAGCAGAGAAGAAAAAAGGGAGGATACAACAACTACAACTATGCTGTGCTGCATAAGAAGAACCAAACCGGTAAAACTGCTACGAATTGCTTTTATCAATATTTTCCTTCTGTTTCTTAATGACAAAATGATGAATCTCAACTCTGAACTTTGTGACTGTTTGGCTTGGAGTCAGATCAGTGTGCTTGAGGAGGGATTAGAGGAAATGTTGGTGTAATTTGCTTTGGCCTAGCTTGTCTTCATAGAAGTCTATCCACAGAGCCCAGACACGCCTAGTTAATGTGATTATCCCGCATGAATGGATGTTGCTACAATGCCTCCCAGACCTCACACTGTACTTGAAGAGCGAGGCACAAGACTGTAACTCGATCTTGGGCAACCCGGCATTCCCTTGTATTGATCATACACTTGACAAAAGTGAAAGATAATTGAAAAGCACTTGATAGATTCTGTATCGTCTCTGAAATGCTCCCTCATATCTTCAGGAGCTTTACAGGAACTCTAACTAATCTACCTTTCTTAATGATGATTCATATTAATTAGAGCAGCCTGTACTCTTAATTGATGCCTAAAATGTATCGTTTGTACTTCTGTTATTTTGAGCAGAAATGGGTGACACAGGAAAGTACATTTCCACAGAGAGGAAAAAAAGGGTGGGGTACGGATTGAGTGAGCAGCACCATCATGTCAGTGGCCTCAGGGGGATACAATGGGAATAAATGAGTCTAAATGGATTATCACAGCCCTCCAGCTGTATAAGTGGATGTTGTCAATTGAGGGTACTATGAAGTGTGCTCTCATTTAAAGGGTGTGAAAGGCTGCTGTTTGGGAGTTTATAATAACCCATGGCTATTCTCAGTGGAAGAGGAGAATATTAAAAAAAGAAGGTGTTGCATGGAAGCAGGTGAGTGGAGAAGAAGGTACTCTCCTGTGTTTCACTCTGTAATTCAGTAGCAGTAATTATTATTTGTTCAGCGCCGGTTTCCTGCTATTATCTCAGACTGATTTTGATTTTATCAGACTCATATCACGCTGGATGCTGATGCCACTTGATTGCTTCTTAAATGTTATCTGGGATGAGTCATATACGCTCTGGCAAGGAGGGAAGAGAGAGAGAAAAGGAAGCAAGGCTGGCCAGTTGAAAGACATGCAGGAGGAGCAGGCTGCAGTGAGGCAGGCGGGCAGGGAGAGAACGAGAGTCAGGGTGGAGTGTAGCTGGTGCACATGGAGGTATGGGGGGGGATGGAAGAGAGGTGGTGAGAGAAGGAAACCTGGTGGGTAAAGAAGCAGAGGTGGAAAAAAAAAAGATCAGAATCAGGGAGGGAGATTGCACGGTATGGGGGAAGGTAGGGAGAGGCAGGCATGCAGCAAAGCAGAAAGGCAACGAGGGAGCTGGATGGTAGCTACAACCGTCAAGAAATGCGGTGGTGACAGAGCGGGGGATGATGTTAGAGAAGGGTAGCGAGCGCAAAGGTGAGAAAGATCAAAAGACAGGAAGCCGGCGCGATGCAGCCATGTGGGTGAGGCACCGGCTTTCCCACAGAGCAATGTCACTGCATCGAGCGTGCGCCTCAAAGGAGAAAATATCTTCCCGGCCTACGAGCACTTATCCTCCTGCCTTCTGCTTTTGAGGAACAGAGGCATACATTAATCGAGACACACTCCGATATCTTCATGGATGGATGAGCAAAGAGCATGGTTCAGTTTTTTTTAATGTGGCAGTATTGCTGTGGGTGCTGCCATTGTGGAGTGTTAAGTGCTGTTGTAACATCTCCACCATGGGAGTGGCTACTAGCGCTTGATTTAGTAGCCCTTGCTGCTAGCTTTGTCTAGTTTTATGCCGTTTTAGAGCAGAATTCAACACCCCAGAAGAGGCTACCTCTCCTCTCTTCAGGGAAGATCAAGGATCAAGTTCTTCGAGGCCCATCTTGTCTCAGATCTTACTACCTCCACAAAATTGTCATTCCTAATGTAAACCACTACTTCAAATCCCACCCAGATCTGCTTTTCTCCAACTCCGCCCCAAATCCATCCCTAGTCCTCTTTCTAGCACTAAGACCGAACCCTCGTGACCCCTCTTTTGACTTACCCTTAAATAATTCTAGACCATAATATAGCCCAAGTCTGCTATCTCAAATATGATTCTCTCTGCTCATTCTCTCTCTCCCCATGCACTCCAATCCCTTTCCCCCAGAGCCTAGCTTCAGCCGTGGTAGCGGCCACAGCCCATATTTTAATATTCCCCCAGCGCTATGTCCAACCCTTACTCCCACTTGCCCACTAGCTCTCCTCAGCCCAACTGCCCCATCCCCTATGAGATCAGTGGCAATTGTAGAGCCTTTGTTCAGGCAGAGTCATTGTAATTGAATTAAAGGCTGCTCCAGAGGACATAATGACGCTGGCATATGGCCGCTTATTAGTTGCCATGGAGCATCTTTTGCAGATCCATCGTAAAAGATCGTAACGACGCTCATCAAGTCACCGTCAAAGAAGAGAGAGAGAGAGAGGGAGAGAGAGATGGTGAGCGGGGGCTCTGGCAGTCACCACCTGAGCCCCCCTCTCCTCATCTGCAGGAGATAGCCGGCTAAAAGGGTGTGGTGCTACGCTGAGTCTGTGTGTGAGTGTGTGTGTGTGTGTGTGAAAGAATGAGTGGGTAGCAGTTTGCTCAGTGAGAGAGAGAGAGTGAAAGACGGCAGCGAGAGAAAGAAGGAGAGGGAGATATTCAGCATATGCAGACAGCAGCTAGTCTTAGCTCTTTGGTGTCTGGAGTGTGTTCCTGCAGAAAAGCAGACATCCATTGAAATCATGCTGGGATTTTCAGGAGAGAGTTGTCATTGCAGGAACTCGAGTGCCACCCGCTAGGTAGCTAATATCTCACTGACTGCTGAAAACTCTGGTTTTATGACAAAGGTTTTGGGTGTTTTACATTTTATTACAATCAGACAATTACAATTACTTAAAATATCAGGATTAATTTATATAAATCTTAAAAAATAACCATTTATAGTGATATGATTCAGAAGCTGCACCTGTTGGGTTTGTGATAAAAGGGCCTTTGCAAAGCTTCCCCATTATAAATACAAATATTACCTTTTAATATTTCTCTCCCCTCTTACTGCTAACATTCAGTACATGGCAGGCAGAGCTGTGAAAAGCGTGTCTCCTGCTTGAATGGATAATAGAAAAAACAAGAAAACATGAATATATATATACGCCTGGTGTGTGCATTAGCGTGTGATGTGGTTCTGAGGTAATTCAACCAGCATAAACCACGCCACTCCATCGTGTCTTCCCCAGTTTCCCCTCCCTTCACCTCCCCCCCTCGTGAAAATAAGTCCCTAATGACACCGGCAATGAGGCATTGGGAAGGTGGCGGAATTTTACTGTGTGTCACCAATGGGGGATGGTGTGTGTGAGTGTGTGTGTGTGGTTATGGATTTGTCGGTAAGGCCATCGACTCGGGTGTGGTTCTCACGACAGCCGGTGCCCACCTAAGGACAGAGACAGACAGAGCGAGCGCACACACTGCAGCTGATACACAAAGCTAAAATTAACACATTCAGCTGTCAGATCAGATTGTATTAAACATATTTTTCGCAACTGAATGTTTTACCTTTTAAAGACGGGAAAGACAGAAGAGTTTTGTTAGGCCTATGTACATTTAAATTCCGAACATGGAGATGCAACTCATTATTTGTCACCTTCACACTGTCTTATAGCAGGCTATTAATGTTGCTACATCATACTGTAGCTCTTATAATTGCTGTATTGCATAATCATGCAACAAAAAAGCACTTTTTTACTGCAAACATTCCTCTTTTAGCTGTGTAATAAAACGGTTTTGAGTGGTTAATGAAGCGTATCTATGGTTACCAGAAAGACCATATTCCAAGAGAAAAACTCTGCAGGCTAATTGTAATCATTTATTTGATTAACCTGATAATGCAGATATGTTGCCTCACTGCTAATTGTTCAAGGTAGAGTTGAAACAGTCATGCTGTGAAGACTTAAATGAGTGTACCTTGTGGTGTGCAGTACCTTTGGGAGGTGCCGCTGTATTTATGAATGAAAATGTGTGCCGCACAGACACAGAGTGGAAAAGAGCCTGCAGGAGGGTACGTGACCAGGGTTCAGTGAACAGTTAATGAGGAATTCTGAAAAGATTTTCAATAATGTTCTGTTAAGATAATACACGATTTGAATTTAGCAACTAACTCAATCATTAACCACTTTACATTATATATCACAGCATAATAAGCGTGATATGACAGGTCAAATACTGGATCTTATGCTTAACGAATAAAGACTACAGCAGTCAGAAAATCATGGCGCATTCAAATTCAAATGACCATGCTATGATTTTGGCCAATCCAGGATGGGGATCTTTTTCCCCGTGATCTTACACTGATATGAGATCACCTGGCACTCTGCTGGTATTTTATTACATTTACACTCGTACACACCCAGATCTCTAACGTGGATGACATACACTCTGTTCCAAAAGTGATGTCATTCCCCATATTCCCAAACACCCTCATCCATCACTTTCTTTCTGTCTGACTCACTGTATGAAGCCAGTAAGTAATTCTATTTAAAATGAAGTGCCTGGGTCAATCGTTCGGCAATTGTAAGCACGCATTACATCAGACATGGTCAAAGCCCACTCAGTTACCAGAGACCTGCATGCATCAAGAGCAGAGGGTGTGCCGCTAGTGATTTGTCTCCACATTGTCTATCTGTTCCAATAGCAGGACACTTGCAAACATTTATTTCAACACATAGTAGGTGATTGTAAGGTAAACAGCTTCAGTTCATCTTTTAAACATAAATAAAAAAAAATGTTAGGGCGCAGTTTATAGCCTCTGCTATCCCTCTCACAGCCAGCGGTACCAAGCTGTTTTTTAATACTACATTGCACAAAATTGCCTCAGGAAGAGGTTGTATATTAACAATTGCAGGAAGGCCTAAGGCAGGATTTACGTCCTGAACCCTGGGGATGAGGGTGGAGGAGGTGAATATACCAACCTTGGCCTCTCTACTCCAATATTGGACTGACACACTGACCCTGAAGAAGACATGTTGGTTGAGGGCCTATGGCTCTTAAATCATGTCACACAGATGTGATTGCTCACCCAGGCAGCTATCCAAGTCCAACCTCATATCCAACATAATCACGCTATTAGAGACAGTAGGTACCAGGAGATAGACTGATGGATATAGCCACTGAGTCACATCTTGAAAACCATTTCCGCTGATGCCACAGTCACGCCAGCTTCGACACATATAACCCCTCAATCCCCCCCCACCGGCACCGCACCCTGCTGCTGCATCACACACACGGCCCCTCCTTAAGCATCCTGATTGCTCCGTCTGATTTACGAGTTCCTATTGGCACGCTCCCCTGAGGGGTCAGGTGCACTGTCAATCAGGGTGACATATAGTCTTTCATAGCACCAACCAGCAGACAGCGTCGTGATGAGTTAGCACTCTGGTTGTCAAGGTAACCTTTGATGGTTTGGGAGGGGTATGGCAGTGAATGTTGAGGAGATTCTCGCAGGCAGCTCGTTCCCTGGCAGCCAGAGACGAAGCCGCAGAAAGCTACTGTACCTAGAGAATAGAGATTGGCTCATTATTTTGGAGAAAGAGCATCAATTTGGAACGCTCACATTTAGCTGTTGACAATTTTGAAGGTATCATTAGAAGCGAAACAGGGGATATTAATGAATGCCATGGAGAGGGTTCTACGTGTAAGTTTATTTATTCACTAAATCCATTTCAGCACCATTATCAAGAGGACAATATCAAGCTCATGCCTGGATGGAATAACCACAATGAATGCCTAGAGTCATTTGTCACGCTCCAAATCCCAGTGTATCCAATTTATTACGTGCAGACAATCGACCCGCACACACATTACTCCCATGATTCACAATGGCACTAAATCTAATCTTTACAGTATATGAGATGATAAAGTGCTGTAGATCCATTCTTTAGTCAAATAAATCACTTGATCCTGACAAAGACTTGATAACTGGGAGGACTAAAACACTGATTTCAGTTTTCACATCTTTATCATTTTGCTGACTGATGCTGCACTGCTCGCATGATCTTTGAACGTTTGATTTGCTTCATGTTGCTTAATCACGTTCATTTAAAGTGCACCTTTTAAACTTTTTATTGGTTGGACTTCTGCTAAAGAATATTTTACTTTGATTTGTTTTCTTATTCATTTTGAATGTACTGATTCATTTTGTTTGCCACTTTCAGTGCTCATCATTCATTCCTTTATTTGATTTGATTTCTTTTCATTAGATTTATATGACTCATAGCACAACCCACTATTTGATGGACAGCTATGGATCCAGTAACAGAAGGTAATATCATGGAACAACTTTCAATATTACATTGTGTACTTTCCTATTCCTAACCCTGTTCCTCATCCAGTCCTATACGTTTGATTCTAAACCAGTCCTAAAACCCTACCCCAACTTTTCCAAGTCTAAAATTCTCCAGTAATGACTTTAAATACAACACTTTGCACATTCACTAATAAACCCTCTCAGCATATCCTTGTCTCTATCTGACTTCTGACCCTTCCACTCATGCCATGTCCTACCTTTCTTTGCCAGCATGATATTTAAGGATGATCATCTCAAGATAAAAAGCCCCACAGTAGATTGATTCTCTGCAAATATTTAGTGTTACAACCTAATATATTTTCTTCCTGGTTTCCAGTGGACTTGCTTGATGGCTTAGAGTAGATGTTTACCGTTTTATTTCTCTTGGCTAGCAGGTGGAGAAGAACGAGGATGCGGACCAGAAGATTGAACAGGATGGCACCACCAACAAACCCGAGGACAAGGCCCACAAGGCTGCCACCAAAATACAGGCTAGCTTCCGCGGACACATAACTAGGAAAAAGATGAAAGACGGAGAGGAAGAGAAGGAGGAAGACAGTCCTGCAGCTGCAGAGGAGGCGACAGAGGGAGGAGAGGAGAAAAAGAAAGTGGAGGGAGAGGAGGCACCTGCTAAGGAGGAGGAAGCTGCAGGAGAGGAGGCCAAGAAGGAGGAGACGAGCCATGCCAAAAGCCCAGTGGCAGAGAAGCCATCTACTCCTGCAGCTGCTGCTGCTTCTCCTGTAGGAGCTGCCACGTCTCCTGTAGCGGCGGCGGCGGCACCAGCTGCTGCTGCTCCCTCTCCTGCGGCTGCCACAGCGCCCTCTGAGCCCCAGAAAGAGGAGCCAAAAGCAGAAGAGAAAGTCGAGGAGAAGCCCAAAGAGGTGGAGGCCCCAGTGGTGGCCGCCAAGAGTCCCACCACAACCACAGCTGAGGAGAAGAAGGAGGAGGAGCCAAGTGAAGAGAAAAAGGAGGAGGCCAGACAAGCCGATGTGCCTGCTGCTGTCAGCCCTATCGCTGAGAAGGAGGAGCCTAACCAAACAAACGATAAACAAGGTATGCAGATTATAAAAACTATTTTAACTTTGATTCATACCGTAGGATTTATTATAAAAATAAAATACATGCAACACATTGGACCAACAATAAGGTTCTCACAACCTCTGAGTTAAACACTTAGGTGTGTCCGTGTTTGGAGGTCACCGAGTTCAGAGACACAAATAATTCCAGACACAATCACCAATCATGAAGCAATTACTTACTGTAAAAGATAGGTAAGCCTTTCCGTAGTCTGCTTGGCAGGCACTGCAGGAAATAACTGTTTGTTGAGTCTGTAGAATTTAAAGATCTTTGGCAGTGACCCAGCATTCATGGTTAACACAGAGACAGCTCAATATTAGATTAGGCCGCCTTGTATCTCAGCCTTTGCAAGATGGAAGCCCCATACTTATGAGCTGAAGATTGGGAGGGAAATGCGGGGTTGGAAATGATGAAGCTAAAATAAGAATGATGTTATACAATGGGCTAGTTATAGGATTGTATCAGAGTTATTGTTAAGAAGCAAGGCCATGCTTATCGAGAAAGCATCATGGATTTTATGAGTCATAAAGTTTCATGTTACCAAGACAAAGATATTGACGTGACTCCTATAGTCATTTATTTCAGGTAAAACATAAATAGTGGTGAAAAAGGATGACCCAATGAAATTATCTCATTCTGCACCTCTGACACCAGTTTATATCTTTGTTAAGAGAACCAGCATTTGACGTCCAATCATAGTGGAAATGTATACCCAAAAAAGAAACTTGAAGGCCATGAAATTACATTATAACTTTGATAAAAACAACATCTTGACATTAATATTTCTGGTCCAAGGACTCTCAGACTGGGTCAGACAGGTAGTTAATGGAGCATGCTCAGTCTGGAGTAGATGGGAATGTGAGGACACACACACACACACACACACACACACACACACACACACACACACACACCACACACACACACACACACACACACACACACACACACACACCACACACACACACACACACACACACACACACACACACACACACACACACACACACACACACACACACACACACACAGAGCAACTGGAGAACTACATGGAAACTAGGTCGCCTAGGCAGCACTGTCTCCTGGTTGTCATAGTTACTACCTCGATGGGATAGCTGCCCTGCATGGAGCAGAGCGGGATAACAGGTGCTCTGATTTCAATGAATGATTAATGAAGCCTACTGGTCACGATCGGCACTGGGGAAGCCTGTCATAAACACTACATGACAAAGAAGTGCTAATTAAGAATCCACTGCTGGCCACAGTCTGCTTTACAACATTTGTATTCAATATTCAATATTTAAGTCACTTGGTTTAGATTTGTGTAGCGATGATGTGACTGAATTATTTAAGGAGGGTATAATCCAGATTCTTCACCTAGGATAGTCCGTGTGACTGCCTTTATTTAGTTACATCTGACCAAGTTGTTAACTGTCATAGCATGTCATAGTGCCATAGTGCACTGCATAATATATCACTTTCATATAGGACATATAGCTCAAAATGCAGACAATAGAAATAGCAGTCAAAAAAGGACTACATGGAACATGAAGTATTTAATACCAAGGACATAAAACACATCCGTGATGTTTTCCATGACCGCCTCCACCATCATCCATCAAATTGAAATTCTTAGATTAAGCTGTAGTGTAATTATTCAATAAATACAAATTGTAGAGACAATACGTTTATGTAAAAGCAAGGCTTGAAAAGCAAGTCCTCAACAATGGAGAAAATATCCTCAGTTTGGATCCAAAAACACAAGAGGCAGCTTCCCAATATGTTTTTGTCTTTGGTATGCTGAGCGAGCAGCAAAAAGACTGTTATCACAGGGATCGAAGTGGGATCAAGTGCAGAAACTAAGAACAGGGCGGTGGTGGCAAAGTCCATAGGGACTTGGCAACTGGAAGGTCACCAGTTCAAGCCCCGGCAAGACCAAGTGCTACCGAGGTGTCACTGAGCAAGTCACCGTTCCCTACACTACTCCCTGGGCGCCGTTCATAATGGCAGCCCGCTGCTCCTAACACTAGGATGGGTCAAATGCAGAGAAACCATTTTGTTACATAGTACCTGTACTGTGTAATGAAAAAAAAAAACAGTGGTGTTAAAATATATTTTTTAGATAGTAAAAACTCAGTCAAACAGCAATATTGTATGAGTCTACTTTAAATAAAAGCATTTACATGCTTCTATGTTTGAAATGAATATGCAGCAGTCAAGTTAGATTACAATTGGCAGTAATAATCACATTATTTGCCAGTGGTTTAAAGTGCTGAAACAGTGCAGTAAAGAGCACCTTTTGTTCTCTGTTCTTTTGTATTCAATTAGAGGACCTCTGTTTTTGTAATACAGTAGTTTGAGGGAAAAGTTGGATATAATTTGCTTCCTTTTCCACTGTTCTGACCACTAGCGGTAGCAAAGACAAAGAAAATGACCAAGGACAAAGCCTTGCAGTACTTTATATTCATATTCATATTGAATAGCTTGTCTTTATATTGATACAAACTAATTGTAACATGAGTGTAGATTACAATTAGAGGTGAGGTGACACTATTGTCAGAATACCAGAACTGATGTGCTTTGGCGCTCCGAATTGGGTGAAATTGCTTTTGCATCACGCAGTTCAGTGACTGTAAAAAACACTTAAGTCTGTCATACTAACGAGATAATCACCTCTTACCTGAATGATCATACTGTCTTGAGTCACACTCGCACACATTAGTGAGTACCAACACAAACAAGATTACCTCACTCCTTTCTCTCTGCCCTGCCCTCACACACACACACCACACACACACACACACACACACACACACACACACACACACACACACACACACACACACACACACACACACGCACGCACACGCACACACACATGCACTCCATCACCCCAATCTCTAATGCAATGATGTCATTCTTTGATGTCTCCTCATTCTATTAAGAGAGTATGAGATCACCATGGTATGAGATCATTGCTCTCAGGGCACTAGTCCAATACAATACAGGTCCTACAACCTTTGTAGCCCATGTATTTCATGACGATATTACAATATAAACATGTTAGGAATTTTGTTAAATTATTTTGTACACAGTTGACAAACAATAGAAATATGTTTGAAGCTTCAAAATATCATTCAGTACAGGAGCATTAGGACAGTATCAGTCAACACACTGTAATACTTATGGCTTAGTAATGTATCATGAATCCTTATTCAGCAGTACTCTCCTCTTAGTAAGCCACCAATGGATTTGTGTTACAACAACGATTTGTGTGTGCCTCTCACAGTATTCAATGTGACAGCCAAATATGCTTCTGTTAGCATTGTGATGTTAGTTCAAATGCTTCATGGGTCCATTAGGAGCACTCTCTTCCTTTAGTATTTACTTAGGCAATGTGGGATGTCAGACATTAAGTTGCATATCTCTGTCAAACATGCTCTCAGTTTTAGTAGTGTACATTTTGTGTACCACATGGAATTACAGTTTTTGAACTGTTACCGTATGCTCTTTTATACAGAGATCCTTTAGAGGTGAAATATTGAAAACATCAAACGTAGCAGCTGGTACTTTATGTGAAATATTCATCTCAGAAGACCTATAGAGCTTTATTATTCCAACCAATCTCAGACATTGTGTAATGTAAAACCTCCTCTCCACAAGCTAATCTGTCCTTCTCTCTCTTCTCCCCAACCCACCTTGTTATCTATTGTCCCCTTCTCTCCACCCTAAAATCTCCCTTTCCTCTTGCTTTGCCTTTGCTTCCCTTCCTCCAACCAGATGCTGCAGAGGAGTCTAAAGCAGAGGAGGCCGCCCCGGCAGATGCAGTGGCGGAGGGCACCGAGTCCAAGGATGACTAAGGCAAACCTTAAGAAAGCAGAATTAAGAATATGAAGAATAACACAAAAAACAAAATCTAAAAAGGTTGCTCTTTGCCTTCCCAATGTGAAGGCAGTCCGTTTCTATTTGTTTGTCATTTTTTGTGTGGCAATGATTTTCTCATGTTGGGGGAGTTTCCAGCGTTACGTTTTTTGGCTCAAGCTAATATTATGAGAAGGTGGAGATGAGAATGATGTTGTTGATAATGAAAAAATGATTGTTAACTTGATGGTGATGTTGATGAAGAGGATCAGATTTGATTTTCACTATCTAATGTCAGTGAATCAATGGTAAAATGATTGCTCCCAACTGGATATTTACACATTTCAAATGCATTGTGAATGCACCATACTTTATTTGCATTGCAATGCACTTTCTTTAAACACACTTTGCAAAAAAGATCTGTAATTCTGCAAATGCACGCACAAAAACACGCCGGTTTTAAAATGCAACTCTAGTTTTCAAGACAGTACAAGTGAATTGAGAACACAGCAAATAGGTAATGTACTGACACATCAAATGGAGAATAGAATGTATTATTAAATGTGTGACATTTCCAGTTGGGCAGCTTTATCCTTTTTCCAAAAAACACATATAGGACAAGAATATTACTCACTCTCTATTCTGCTTGAGTCATTCAAGCTTGGTTTACACCCCTTTTTCAGACTCCCTTTCTACTCACATTTACAGTAAAGGACCTGTTGCCATTTCAATGATATACGCATATAATAAAATATAGGAGTCAGCTATAGTACTGGTGTAACTGACTTTTACATGACGAATTGTGTTCTGCCAACCAAAAGTAAGAACAGTAGCATGAACCATCGAACCAGATGCATGATGGGAACTCTCCCTCTGAGAGGAACTTTTTCGCAGTCACAGAAACTTAAGAGGTGTGGCAGCTTCTTTTTGATGTCTTTGGTGTTGTTATGACAGTTTATATGAATTGGAAAAATACTCTTGCACTGATGTTACGCAAAAAAACGTAAAAATAAATATCAAACAAATGAGCAAACAAAAATACTTTTCCCATGTTCCAGTGAGTGCAATGTCCAGTTTCAACCTCATCAAGGAGTTCAAACTTGTGAGAAAAAATATGAAAAAAAACAAATGGTTTCAATGTCTGTTTTCAAAATAAAGCAAATGTGCCAATTACCATCATAAACTGTGGAGTTTGTTTAAAGCCATGTTCAAATGTTGTGTCACTTCAGAGGGTGGAATATATCTGGAGGCAAGACTGACTCACTATCTGGCATATTTAATCCATTTGCATGCCAACATATAGATAAGAACATCTGCAACACACAGAGTGCTTTAAATCTTCTCATATGCACCAAAACCTAATTTAAGGCTTGAGAATTTTCAATCATGAATATTAGCAAATATTTGGCTATACATTAGTTACCACTATTTTAGACATATTTAATTAGCAGAGGCAACACCTGACATACATGGGATGCAACAAGCACTGTCATATTTTGCTTCTGAGTCTTATCCTGGGTTTAAGCTTCTTAAGGAAGATACATCTAAAATCACATGACAAACTTGGCTATAATGAATCAGGTTTCTAATCACCTGTATTCAGGTGTGTCTTGATGCTGCCAAATGTAAGGCATATCTACCAGAGAGCAGAATACAGGATTTCTAGCAGAGTACTTAAAGGTCACCTATTATGCAAAATCCACTTTTTCATGTCTTTTATACATAAATATGTGTCCCCTCTGCATTAAGAGATTCTGAAAGTTTCAGGAAAAAATGATCCATATATATATATAAACCTGTCTGAAAATGAGCTGATTTTGGCCACTTTATGATGTCATAACGTTTTTTTGGCTTGTGTAACCATTAGCCAATAACCCCCCCCCCCCCCCCCCCCCACCTTATCACCTGAATCTCCTCCTAGAGCACCATTGTGTTCTTTTTAGCCAAATATCTCTCAGAGGGGCGTGGGGAGTGGCTCCTTATTTTCATCTAAAGTAACAGACAGAGAATCAGCACTTTTGAAACAGGGCTGAAACAGAGGGGATTATGGGATGTTTGGTATTTCGTGCCAAACACTTCAGAGACATGTTTTGTTTAAATCTGTGACCTATAATACATTGATGAAAAAGAGGATAATAGGGGACCTTAACAATCATATTGTTTTAATATATACAAATATATGTTATAAGGTCCAATACAAGTTGTTTCTGAAATGTTTTACATGCAATATTTCAAATACATGATCAAAAACCAAATATTACTGCACTTTCAATTAGATATGATTTCAATCAGAGAGAGGTCTTTTAGCAAAGATTTATGCAAGAGCACATGCACTTGCTGGGATTTCAAGTTTAATGACTCCTGATAGCATGGAGTTAAAGGTCAATATGATTACCAACCTTAGTCTCAGGAGAACTTGTGTGACATTTGCGCTAATAAAACTGATTTGATGAAGAAGGAATAAGAGTTTTATATTTTCTCAAAGGTTTGTCCAATCACCCTCAACAGGACGTGTTTGTTATGCTCACCACTGCACAACGTTAACAGCCCAGAGAAGAAGCTTGAAGAACTTTATGGAACTGTGAAGAACTACTAATTGTAGTAGGTTGTCAAGGTGAATGGTGTGTTGTATCTTTGAGAAATATCTGGCTGCCATAGTAAATTAATAAACTAAACTAGTTTACAGTATAGTAGTGTCAAAGTCAGTGTCATTAAAATGTTAAATGTCACATTAAAAACTAAATAAAGAAGTCATAGTAACAAATAAATAATAGCATAGTATAGTATGTCATAATAGTAGTTATAGGATAGTGTGTCAAAACAAAGTTATAGTTCAAAAATGTCAAAGTAAGTCAAAAAAAAATTCACAGTACAGTAGGCTTTTTTGCATTAAAACAAGTCATAGTATATAATGCCAGAAACATTTTAATTTTTTTGCACATAGTATTTATGGCCTAAAACAGTGATATTTATTAAATATTTTTCAATGGGGTTATACCCCATTGAACTAATGAGTTTTTCTCATTTCTCAAAGTGTGGGGGTTAAAGCTAGAAAAAACGTGTGCTCCAGGATTGATTTTTCAATTCCCATCTCTAAACTCAGAGAAAAGGCTAATGATGATGCAGAATAATGTGATTTTTCCTCATTGTGCCAAATCCCAAAAAACAGCAATGGCATCATTTGGTTTGTCCTGACATCTCGTGGTGAAACATGTTACTACAGCAGCTCCCATTTCAATCACTTCATTTAGTTTAGAGAACATTTGATTGACACATGATAAATGTTAAGTCTCTGGCGATTAGACCCCGATCCTGAAATCGTATATCTAAAGGGGGAAATGCAGCCGTGAGCATATGGAACCCCCCGGGGTCTAGACACTGGTGATGATGCTGAAGATCTGGATTTGATGAGGAGATGGGATGAAGAGGAGGTGTGATGAGGTCTTTGGATATGATGAAAGGTGGTGGATGGGGAGGAGGCGGGCGGCAGCATGAAAACCTGGAATCACAGCTGACAGCAGGAGAGAGGAGAACCATTTTGAAGTTTGGCTGCAGCACAGTGATTGGCTGCTGGAGAATGAGGTGAATGTCATAGGTTAAAGACAACGCCCGTGATGAGCTGATTATAAGCAGCTGCGGAGTGAATGTACACTGAACAAAAATATAAACGCAACACTTTTGTTTTTGCTCCCATTTTTCATGAGATGAACTCAAAGATCTAAAACATTTTCTATATACACAAAAAAGGGTTAGGGTAATGTTGTGAATCGAGTGGCCTGTGTTCGTCGTCCATAACATACGCCTGCCCATACCATAACCCCACCACCACCATGGGCCACTCGATTCACAACATTACCCTAACCCTACCCCTCACACCAGATACTGACTGGTTTTCGGACCCCCCCCAATAATGCAAAAATGCACGTTTCAGAGTGGCCTTTTATTGTGGCCAGCCTAAGGCACACCTGTGCAATAATCATGCTGTCTAATCAGCATCTTGATATGCCACACCTGTGAGGTGGGATGGATTATCTCGGCAAAGGAGAAGTGCTCACTATCATAGATTTTTTCAGATTTGTGAACAATATTTGAGAGAAATGGTTATTTTGTGTATATAGAAAATGTTTTAGATCTTTGAGTTCATCTCATGAAAAATGGGAGCAAAAACAAAAGTGTTGCGTTTATATTTTTGTTCAGTGTATATACCCAGTCTTCCTGAAAGAACTTGCGATGAGCTTCATTACAGAACACTACGCAGTGACGTAGTATAAAGAGCCTGTGCCATGTTGACATTACTTTAAGTCTATAATGGTGTTGATAGCACACTGAAAAAATTGCTGTTCCAAAAATAAGTTAAACAAAAAAGAAAACAAGCAGTTTTCACTTGAAATAAGTACACACATCTGCCAATAGAACAAGTGAACATTTGCTTGGTAAGATTTATTGAAATAAGATGGGATATTTAGATAAATCAGATCTTGTAATTAGCTGTTACAATATAAGCCGCAAATGCTCAAAAGTTTTCTGATGTTAGTTGGTTAATATCTAATACATATGTAAACAAAGATGTGCTTCATCTGAGATACAGCTCAAAATAAGATTATTTGACTTAACAAGATGATGCATTGTCTAAAAACAAGACCCGATATCTCACTGCAGTGTTACCGCTGAAGTTATTATGTCTTATAGCAAGTGTAAAGACATATTCTGACTAGATATTAGACAAATATAATGGGCAAGATTTCGAGTTTTTGTAGTGCATCCCTCTTACCGTTCATCTATTGCACAAAAAACTGAAAGTGGAAAACCTCTTGCTGACGAGCTGCGTCTCAGTTGTATTTCTCACACTTTCTGAGGATAAAATGTCTTCAAGAGAGAATACCATAATACATATATTATTTTATTTGCATGTTACATGGTGATAAACACAATTGTACCGTTAAGATTCTGGGTGTCTCAAGCTATCTCCCAAAAAAAGGTTACTTGCCCCAACATGTCAAGTCACATTCAAATACAGAACATTAAATTCAAACAACTTTATTTTGTGTTATGAACATTTTCTCATAATTATACCTTTTATTACATGTCTTTTTTTTTTAAGAAACTCACTGCAATCACCTTATGCCATAATAAAGTAAGGTAACACGGAAACAACAAACAAAATGGGACATTGCTGTGTCATAATCCATGATTGAATCTTCATTTCCCACGACAGGGGAGAAGGGAGGTACAAATGTAATAGTGACATTGGCTTTTTAAATCTTTAAATGCTAGGTTGTATAAACACAATCTGATGGATTTGCTGATTTTACAACATTCTGGTGTAGAAACATCACACTGTATATAAACACAGAGGAGGATAATAAAATATAAATTATAATAGGTCACTACTGTAACCATAGCTCAACGGAAAGTAGAGCGTTAGCTGTTTAGCACACTCGTCATGTATCTCATGCCATTTAACTTAGGTACGTTTATAATATTAACCAGAATCAGAATCATAGCACACACGCGCACAAACACAAGCCAGTTTTGTACAGTGAAGCGAAGGCAATGTTTAGAGGCAATGCTCAATAGTAAAGTATAGCTGTATCTTCAGTAGATATCCAGGTCTGTCTACATGGGGTTGGTGCTGTGTCCATAGGCTGGCTGTTGGTTTCTACGAGCAATGGAAGATAATTATTCCTTTTCCCTTTCTGCTTTATGGATAAGACAGAGCTTCATGGCTTTTACATGCTTGGTCTTAGTGCTTATTGGCTGCTTTTAACCTGCATTGGACACACTTGAAAATCACCTGAATGGGGAAAACGTTTTAAAAATGACTGTTAATATGCTGTTTCGTCTTTTAAAATAAGATTTCTCGTCCCATCATGCATTCCAAGCAGGTTAAAAATAAATGCCCAGCATAATTTTAAGAAACTTGACCTTGCTCTGATAGTCTGTCAGGCTCTCATCCATCAAAAATAATCACATTTCAGTTTGTCTGAGATTCTGCCAAAGGCCATCCTTGCTCTGCCCTGAGGTTTTTCTTTATATGACACATAGCAAGACAGATATAGACATGTAGCACAGACCGCTCTCATGCAAGCTGATCATGATAATCTATTTTCACCACAGCTTCCAGATCATCCACTTCTTACTTCAATTAAGACAAAGCTGTTACTGACAAACTTGCATCCTCAAGTCTGAGCTAGCCAGAGGCTAACAAGTAAGAGTCTGCAGAAATACCACTGTAGTAGAAAAGACTCTTGGAGTAAAGTGAATCCACTTAAAAGTGGAAACACTAGAGTTGTTCAGTCATAGAAAATCAATAAAAAAACATGTCGGATGATGACAGAAAAAAACAGCTTTCTTATCACTTCCTAGACTGACAAATCTGATTGTAAGATTGTTTGTGTTCTGACTGATAGAGGTGAAGACATTTTGTTATACTTATAAATGCTTCAACTTTGATTTGAGATGTGGCCTTTATCAGTTTCTGTTCAGCCCACATGAAAATCAGACTGGATCAGATGGCATTACCAACACTACACACTACAGTCACACAGCCATGGCCTCAGAAGCATTTACAATCAAAAACAATGGGGACAATTTCTTTAATGTATGACAAGAATGACATTAATTACACATGTGTTTTACAGTACTAGTGCTATCTCGGCTTGGTTGTTAGAAGAGCGGAGAGGAGCTGGAGTTCATAAGCTTTATGTCACCTCGCAGTAGGTAAAAAATAAATGGCAAAAAGAAGGCGGCTAATAGTGCGCCATTTTCAGCTTTTTCTTGTCTCCCCTAAAATAATCACACTGCTTGAAAGGTCTTCTTCTTTTATAAAATATTGATACATTTATCAATTTGTGTTCATTAAGAAATAAAGTCAGTGGCGAGATGTGATGACAAAACGTATTGTAGGACATGTGATATAATGCTGTTATTTTGTTAAAGATGCCCATCATCACAGTGACCTTGGTGGCCATTGAGCTTGATAAGGATTCGGTATTCATTTGTTTTCTGATTCTCAATACTTGGTGATCCATTTCCTTTTAGCCAGCACTTGTTTCATCTCAAGGTAGGTACAATAAGAACTGCACAAAACTATCTTCTTTTTATGCTTTTTTTTAAAAAACATTATCTTTTTCAAAATGGCTTCGGTTCACATGAAAGAGCAGGGTTGCCAGTCCAAGTAACCTAGAAGTTATTTATCCTCAACAAATTGCTACCCTATTCAGAAACATGGACACATAGAATTTACCTTTTCATATAATATAAGGACATTGGATTCAAGTATATATATATACACAACTAAAATGAATGAGGTAAAGACAGAAAAAAATAACCTCAATATCAATATATTATGCATTTTTTCTGTATCATTTCATATTAAAACACGCATACTTCTTTGAAAGAGAAAAACGAAAATGTAAGTCATTCATTGGTGTCATACATTACTATCCAAATCTCAGCAGTATAGAAGAATGATCCTAAAACTTGCAAGCTAAACAAAATCATTGTGTGTGGTACAGCATGCAGCCTGCTGAGGAGCTGAGAGAAACTGCAGAAGAAGGTTGGCGGTCAAAAAACAATGTGGTTGAATAAGTTGTCTATCATAGAGAAATACAAAATTGTACTATGTACAGTACGCATCATTATAACCTACTGTGTTTCTTTTCTTGCTGCAAAAGACAAGAGAAATACTTTTGGAATAAAGGCGAGGAGTTGCAAAAAACACTGAATGAAGATGTATAGTTACTACTACCAGATAAACGAGTTTCCTCCGTTTTGTACTCCACATTGTTTAGCTCAGTAGGATCAAGACAATTCTATTCACTGCATCCTCGATTTCTGGGCTCGACAGCAACGACCCAAGTGACAGCTGCATCTAGAAACAACGGCATTGGAGAGTCATCTATCTGTCTATGTTTCACGCATACAGACTTTAATCTCAAGCTCTAACGCCAGAACAGAATCAGCTGCAGTATTTTCTTTTAGATTCTGTATGTGTTAGTTTCAAATCTATATAGTTTATGGATATTTGGCAGGTACTTTGCATGTTGCTCATTAATGCACTGGTTAAACACTCGGTTAAATCTACAATTTAAGTTAACACAATTAATCTATGGGACTAAGGAGGAATATACCTTTTGTCTTCAGTACTTCTCGAGACAAATGATTGTTAGCATCCCTGTGAGCGGGTGCCTCTGCTTTCCCATGAAAACAAAAAAACGAATCTCAAACCTGGCCAGACCCCAAAGACAAAATATAGCAGAAAAGAAAGGACATACTATTTAAAAACAACAATGCAATTATTTAAAAGAGCACTGTTTGCTTGTTCTGCCCTTCATTTCATAGTTTTTTTTGTTGTTCTTCTAACATTTTATTCATAACCCATTTTTTGTTGTTTTATCTGTAAGCAGTGCTCGGGAGCACGTAAGGTTTTTGTATCATGATGCAAACAGTCTGGGGGGGGGCGTCAAAGTTGGTAATAAGGTAGCAATAAGGATGTCGGTGAGCTGGAGACGAGGAGGAAGAGGACGAAGGAAGGCCAGTAGGGGGCACAAGAGGAAGAGGAGGGTATCGGTATTAACACTTGAAGACAAGGCAGGCGAAGCAGGCCAACAGGAGCCACAGTGATTTAGATACAGAGGCAGAGCCGTTGATATCGCGACCTGTCCCGGGTCCTGAAGAGAGAGAGAGAGAGAGAGAGAGAGAGAGAGAGAGAGAGAGAGAGAGAGAGAGAGAGAGAGAGAGAGATAGAGAGAGAGAGAGAGAAGAGAAAGAGAGAGAGAAAGAGAAGAGAGAGATCATTTAACATACATACATACTGTTATCTTCATCACATTGATCTTATTTCTATTGCCATCATAATTGATATTGGGTCGATAATATCCATCAGGTAAGTTGTATTCTTTCTTTTCCTTCATTTTAAATGACATAATATAGTTAACATGATTATTACTGTTTCATTACCTTGTTCAATGTGCTTTGGCAATACTGTGTTTGCAAAATGGTTATGCCGATAAAGCTTATTTGAATGGATATCTATAGAGTTTTTACATAGATAATATTGATATGGGCACTGCAGAAGAGACTCCCAGAAACTACTTTTGGAGTTAAACAACTGAGTAATATCACACACCCAAATGAATGATTCGGGTGCTTTAAAGTACATACATAAATATTCAAATGTGCACTTCTTCTGACCCAGGGACTACTGAGGACCTCTCACTACTTTGAGAGGTGTTTGGTGACATCTTGTGGTCATTGTGTGCTATTGCCTCCTTTGCTGTACACATCACTGAAGCCCAACTTATGCCACAGACAGCAGAGCAGAAGAGGCTGAGGGAACATTTGGTGGTCATAAAAGCTCAACACACTCCAACTTAGAAAAACACATACGAAGAGACAAAAGACTGGCAAATGAGGAAGCATGCTCCAAAAACACAAAGCACATTATGTGCGTGGTTTGTTTGGTTATTTGAGTTTGATATCTTTATTTGCAGTGCTCCCTTTTATTCAAGGTTGTCTATTGTCAATTATATCAAATCGTACAGTATGTTTTATCTTTCTATTAGTCTTTCTTTGAATGTAACATTTCAAATTGCATTGTTGAAAGTAAAACTGTGGTTGCACTGATCCTTAAAGCCACCCTTTCAGCATGTTGCACAAAAGCCAATCAGTTATGTCGCAGCAGATGTTTTGAATTTAAAAGCTCTGCGTCATCTGGCCTGCCTCTGAGGGCTGGGACACAGCGGCTTAGCGGAGTGCAGTAGCCATCAGATGATTATCAAACAGCAGCAGGTATTGCAGATGCTGCAGGACAACGTATATTTCATATTTTCTCTGCTTTCAAGCCACAAGCCACATGAAATATATGGCGATGTTTCCAGAATGTTTATGCTGCAGCCGTTAGTGTGCCATATGAAGAGGAAACCATGTCCAACTAACTCAAACCAGAGCTTTGCTGGTGAAACACCTGCTGCAACAGCCCTGATTGGGCGATGGAGCCAGAACTCAAACATGCCTCAAAGCTTGATCCTGTGGAGCAAAAACCTGAAATATGTGTTCAAGGTGTGTTGGACAAATCATTCTGCATTTCAAAAAACAGCATGGAAAATACCATTTTATAATGGTCAGGTCTTAGTGCCAGATCATGAAAGATAATCACTTGACTCTCTAGCTCTATTGAGATTTTTTGGCATCAATTGTTTAGTCTGAGCTCCTCCAATCAACCTTTCATTTCAATCAGAGTAGCTCAGATAAACCCCCAGCAACAACATAACTACTGGCTGGCTGGTGAACATATTCCAATATCCAGCAGAGCCCTCCAAAGGGCAAAAAGCAATCGTGCAACTGCAATGCTTCATAAATATTTCTAAAATGTACCTGATTACAGCAGATACATCTGCATGTGTACTTGTTCTTTTATCTATTGACATTTTGATTTAAACTAATACAATAGCACACTAACATTAGCGACTATGGAACAATGTACAGACCCAGAGGTACGTTTTCTCCACTCCGCAAAGCAAAGGTTCATTTTGAGTTATTTTCCAGCTGAACCAACAGTTATGAAGACATACAAACACTTTTGTGAACCATTTTGGGGAACATAGATTTGGTTTGTCTCAGTATTTATTCCTTCAAGTTTGCTTATATTCTTTGGACGTTGCCTTACTTTGACCCAAAGTAAATGTCACATTCCCTCTCAGCCTGCACTGTTTGCTAAGTGCTGAAAAAATGACTACACAGAATTATTTTAATTTTGGCTCATACACGCTTCCAATTGTTCAGCTCATGCAGAGAAGCTTGAATAAAAGTACAGAAAACCAAGGTGAGTTTTTCTCCCTGCTGATTTTCAATAATTTCATGGGGAAGTTAATATAATTTACATCTTAAAGTAATTCAATCTCACCTTGAAACTCACAATGATCAACATTTGGTTTGGTGATACTGCAGTTGTGTTTATTTCTGCTCAATAGGCTACTTATAAAATCCCTGGATGTGTCATGATTTAATTTGTAAAGGTATTTACCTCTAAAGAAACAAGAATCTCCTTTTTTGTATTCAGGTTTTAGATTATAGCAATTCACATTAGTGTTTATACTCACTATAGAGGAAGAGACTGGCATTCTGGACGCCCAGTCGATTCGAGGCCACACAGGTATAGTTCCCATAATCCTCTTCAGTGACGTTGGCAATCATGAGAATAGTAGTCGTGCCAAGAATCTGGATATTGATGCCTTGGGCATTGGACAGCCTGGAGGGGAGAGACAAACAGCAGCAAGGACATTTCAAGTAAATTGAAAATTAATGAAAATCAGAGGACTTAAGGCCAGATGGGAGTTGGTGACATTTTGGGCAAAATATTAGAGTCAGCAGTGTCTGTGCAAGGGAAGGAGCCGTGAGACTTCATTATTGGACTTCAATTCCACTGCTTTGCCGACGACATCCAGCTTCTCATCTCCACCAAGTCCATCTCCACTGCTACCCACTCCATCCTGACAAACTGCATCACTGAAATAAAATCCTGGCTCCAACTTAACTTCCTGAAACTCAACTGCGATAAATCTGAAATAATAATCATTGGACAAAACAAGCTCACCACACCTATCCATAACTTCACCCTCAACATAGACGGCTTCCCAGTTCAAACCTCCCCTCACATCCGGAACCTAGGCATCATATTTGACCAAACCCTCTCCTACAACAAATACATCAAACAGATCACAAAGACAGCCTTCTTCCACCTCAAAAACATCGCCCGTCTACGTCCATCTCTCTCTCCCACTGCTGCCGAAACCCTCATCCACGCCTTCATCACCTCCCGTCTAGATTATTGCAACAGCCTCCTCTACGGTTCACCTGCAAAAATCCTCAAAAAACTTCAATATATCCAGAACTCCGCCGCCCGCCTACTCACCCACACCCGAATCCGTGAACACATTACACCCATCCTCATCAAGCTCCACTGGCTCCCCATCCCCCAGAGAATTCAGTACAAGATCCTCCTGATAACATACAAAGCCCTCCATAACCTGGCCCCATCCTACCTGACTGACCTCCTCCACAGACACACTCCCACTCGCTCCCTCCGCTCTGCTACTGCCAACCTCCTGTCTCTCCCCACCCGGACCAACCTCAAGTCCTGGGGCGACAGAGCCTTCTCCGTTGCTGCACCCACCCTCTGGAACTCACTACCCCAATCCATCAGAGATTCTTCCTCCCTCACAGCATTCAAAACATCACTCAAAACCCACCTGTTCAACACTGCATTCAACCACTGACCACCCCCCTCCCCCCCTATTTTCTGTTTTGTTTATCTCTTTTTGTATTTCTTTGTTATCTATTTTTTTAAATTTTTTTGTTTTCTCTTGTCTTTATTTTTCTTAACTCTCTGTCAAAGCGTCTTTGAGTTTCATGAAAAGCGCTATAAAAGTCCCATGTATTATTATTATTATTATTATTATTATTAATTAACCAATAAAATATGCATATATTTTTTCTACTTTGAATACACACTTTGAATTTAGAACAAAAATCCTGCTGGCTTAAAAATAAACGAGATGTCACAGCCACTGTCTGTCCCTCGTGTTCTCCTCAAAGCAGCAACCTCAGGTCTAAAAAGTGAAGCCAAAAACAGGATCCTTGTTATCCCGTAGGAAAGATTATTATGCTGGTGTAGTCTTTTCATGTAATTTTAGGATTCTTAATTACATTACATTACATTACATTACATTTAGCTGACGCTTTTATCCAAAGCGACTTACAATAAGTACATTCGACCAGGAAGACACAACCTTGAAGAAAACAGAATCATATAAGTACATCAGGTTTCATAGAGCCAAACATTTCAAGTGCTACTCAACTGGCTTTAGATAAGCCAGTCCTTTATTAGTATATAAGTGCTTTGTTAATAGTTCTATCGCTCGAAGTGGAGTCGAAAGAGATGAGTTTTCAGTTTACGCCGGAAGATGTGCAAGCTATCTGCCGTCCTGATGTCAATAGGGAGCTCATTCCACCATCTTGGAGCCAGGACAGCAAACCCACGTGTTTTCGCCGATGGGAACTTGGGTCCCCTTCGCAGCGACTCGCAACGAGTCGTTTGGCTGATGCAGAGCGTAGTGCACGCGCTGGGGTGTACGGTTTAACCATGTCCTGGATGTAGGAATGCCCGCCAAACTTCTGTCAACGCTATTAACCTGGACGGAGCACCTGGCTACAATCAGCTAACAACCCACGGCCTAACCTTTCTAGCCTTACTCTAACCCTACTCTAACCTTTCTCTATCCTTACTTGCAGAATGTTGTGTTTTTGTTACCCGACATAATGCTCGCTTGTTCCTTTGCTTCAGCAGTCCTCTTCTCTCGCCTGCCTGCTCGCCAGCTCGTTCCCTCTGCTTCCTCTTCTGCTGCCCTGACCTGCCTCTCTCCACCCCCCCGCTGCTTCCTGCCGTCCTCCAGCCATTCACTCACCTAATTCATCTACTGCTTCAGTAACTCCTTCAATGAAACTTCACTGACTTCCTGCTCTGTGTTCATGTTTGGTTCCACCTAACAATGGGTAATTAGCCCTTCAGCAACAAGGCACTTTGCATGACCTGGCTGACATGGTTCAGCTGTTTTCTGACTGGGGTCTTACACCGTACGCACACATTAAATACATTTATTTGAATCTGTTAAAATTACTTAATGAAAGTTGACATTGTGTCAACACATTTATTAGAATTTGTTATTGTAAACCTGATGTCGTTTATTACATTTGAATCTCACAGTTTCCGACAATACTGTGAAGTACACATTTAAAATAGCTACATCAACGTTTACAGATAAAGAAAGACCTTTTATATTAAATCTATTTTTGTAACAATTTCAATTTTATATTAAATTATATTATTAACAGTAGTTTGACTTTAGTGCTAGTAATCACTTCGCAATAGTAGTGTCAGTGAACTATCTTAGAGTAGGCGTTGAGATTGTCAGAGAAATATCTTTCATTAAATTGTTGACATTTGATCCTCAACCTTTCAAATATGTGTTTAGCAAAGATGTTCTCTTAATATTGAGTTTGCAAAACTGTAACCGAGGCAACGTGTCTGTGTGGATATTAACAGTTTTATTTCTATAATGTTTATTGTTGCCATCAAACAAACAGGATCACTATTTTGATGAACGATTAGTATGCTGCCGAAGTCTTTTCATGCACTTTTAAGAGTCTTTATGACCACCAAACTTCTGCCAATTAATTATGTCCTCCTTGAACCCCTTTCAGCACAAATTAATCAATAGAATGTGCTGACTCAGACGGTTTACCTCGTTGATGAACTGCTCCTTACACCATCATGGGCAAATACAACTCTTTTAATAAGACGGTGCGTTTAATGGATTCTGCTTGTTCCGGGCTGATTGAGGCCTTTCGTAACATGAATGAGGTGAAGTTAATTTAAGGCGCCTCAACTTAATCCTGCTTAAGTCTGGATAATGTAGTAATCGGAATTGGAGCGGGGGAGCTGGAAGTTTGTGCTGACACACACTTGGCTGATAGGAGGTATTAACATAAACAGCAAAATGCACATCATGGCACAGCATAATTTGGCTCAGTGGGGAGTGTGGACTTGATAAATGTACTGAGGTCCTTTCCATAGGGACATCTTGGGGACGGTGTGTGTGTGTGTGTGTGTGAGAAAGTGAGAGAGCAACACAGCGAGAGCTAAGGAAGGGCAAGTGCAGCAGCACTGTCTCCACTTCACCCCTCCCACGATAAGGCCAGCAGCAGATATATTCTCCAGCCTGTCTTCATGAGAGGTGACTGAACTATTAAAAAGGTCTGGCTGCCCGCAGAGCATGCTGAAAGATCCAGATATTACACAGCACACACAGCGCTGAAAGCAAACACCTATTTTTACTCAAGATTACAGCGAATGATTGTAGCGCAGCAGCCGGGGAATAAATCGCCCAGCACAGGTCAAACAGTGAAGGTTGCAGGCTTGTTTGGTTTTCTTTGCACACATGCTGCAAGTTAATATAGCAACAGAGAAGTGCAGTGGAAATAACAGGAAAATGGATCTCTGGCCCTAAAAGTGTGTCTCTTTTTCTATTCTATTTTTTTAACTCATCATTCCTGAGGCCCAATTTGAACTTTTAACGCGTTTGGCACACACATACTGTATCTGCAGCCGGCAACTTCTCTCACACTTTGATTTCATGTTTATCCTCAAATATGCCTGTGTCTCTGCCAGCTTCACCTGGCATAATAGACTGGAATACATTATCTATTCAAATTAGCAGATTCATGCACTTCCAACTTTTTTGGAGGGATGTTTTCATCATAACTGTATCAATTTGTATGTTTATCCTCGCAGGCAGAGGGCAGCAGTGCTCTGGTGGATATCTCCAGTGATCACTTCTTGATGCACGGAGTCACTCTTACATTAAACCCTAGATTGAAATGATTTGACCTCTCTGATTGGCAGAGGGCAGTGTGTGCGCAGAGCTGTTGTCGCAGAGCCGGTAGAGAAGAGAGACCAGAGCAAATCATAAGATGGACAGATTTGATTCTGTAGCGTGTGGGAGCATCTAAAGTAGGTTATCACTGCCACAGAAAGTGACAGGCCTGTTATGATTCAAGGCCGATGATAAATGAAATCAAGTAGAAGCTCCTGCTGAGACTTGTCGCCCAGAGATGATTGAATGTGGTTTGGTGTCTGTGGCAGCTCTGTATCAGCTGACAAAACAACACACATATCTGTCTATCATGTGAGCTAACATCTCACGTAGGATTTTCTCATGTTATAAACATGGGCGGAGCGATTGACTGCACCAAGAGCAAGGGCAGCCTACGTTAAAAGATGCTTAAGTAGATAGAAAGGGCAGGATTCTACAAACACAATACCAAAGATTTAGGAACATACTGCATGAAACAGGACACTATTTTCTCTGGGAGCTTCTTCTTTAGGTTTAGCAGTACAGAATCATTTGAAAGAAGATTGAAGGGGGAGGTAATTTACCGTTTGAACTTAATTCCATGATGGACCAGCAGTGAGAAGAGACAAATTGAGCAGGTAGGGTCATGACAGCCAGGTATTAATACTTTTCATTCATGAAGTTTTGGCCAGCTTCTTTCAGATTATGATGTATCAGTTTCCACTGCGGCTAATTGGGTGTCTAGCGCCACGGAGACTCTCAGATTAAGGTGAAGCCGGAGATGTTGTGAAGCAATGAATCATTTATTTTTTAGTGGATGAGTAACGTTTCATCAGCTGAGGACGTCCATGTTGTCACCAGGATATTGAGACTGGCAGAGGATGGATATTCTAAAGGTTTGGCGACTCAACACTCAAAAACGGAGAGAGAAGCAAGCTGTACAGCCCGGGATGTGTTCGATTGCTGCCAAGCATTTTGTTTGAGCTCTGGATTGTTTACTCCTTCAGTTTGGTTTGTTTGGGCAGGTGATAGCAATGCCTTTCAAACTTGCCACTAGATTACTAGAGCAAAACATGTGTGCTTCACTCCAAGAGAGCTGATGTGTAAATTGTTTGGAGTAACAACCAACCAAGAGGCAAGTCTCGAGGTAGGGTTTAATTTCAAATGTGTAGGGTTGTCACTAGGGCTAATCAATTAATCGTATTTTAATCGCAATTACGATTATGGCTTGCAGCGATTACGAAAACAACGTAATCGAAATAAAACGATTATTTTTTATTATTACTTTTTTGTATTGGTTTTTCATTTGAATTATACTTAAAGTTCAGGGTAATCAACTTTTTTCCAATAAATTGATGTTTTCAAAGTAAATGGATAATCGTTTTTAATAATCATGATATCAATTATTGACCCAAATAATCGAGATTATGATTTTTGCCATAATCGAGCAGCCCTAGTTGTCACACTATCAATATAAAATGAACATACTCTACTTGGTGTGTATAACAGTTTTAATACTAATTTACTTGCCAACATGAAAAAAACTAAATATATAATGGGGGATTGACAGAATGACACTGTGCAGAGGGAAATCCTGCATCTGAAGGGTATGGGTAATTAAAAGCAACATGACAGTCTAGTTTGTTTTGTTATTAAAGAAAGGGATAAAAGAAAGATTAATTCAAGACGGTACCAAAGCTAATCAGGAAGCCTGTAGACAAATGTAGAAATCATCAAAGTACAATGTGCGTGCTGAAATAATGAAAGAGGGGAAAATCCAAATACATCAGCTCTAAAGAAATTCTTTGTGTCCTCCTCACTTCTCATGTTTGAGCACGGCGAGAAGAAAACGGTAAATTGTTAGTGCAGCAAAGGGATTTGTTTAGATTCCTTCACTGCCTACATGTGTGATAACCCATGCAGTTGTCAGGGTGTCCATTGATAACCTGTGTGTTGATGAGGTTAAACTGATTAAAAGGGAACACATCGCAGGAGCAAGACCTTAACAGTCAGGTAAATAAGATACAACACGGTGCAATGCATTAGCTTCGATTCTTGGGAAGAGACTATGAAATTATCTAGCCAAGCAAGGATAAATGATATTATTATGGTGCATTAACAGCATCATCCAAGGAGAAAGTGCAATAACACTTTCCACTGGAGCCGCAGAAGAAGGGCGAGCTGTGAACAGGCGCATAGCCAAAATCCTCAAGGGGAAAAAACAACTGAGATAGATGGCAGTTGGAAACAACAGATAATGCAAAAATAATTCAACGACAATAAATCTTTCTTTGCAAGCAGTGGTGTGATAGGCCCATTACTTTAGAGACCATATCTGTGATAACACTGCTGACACTCCTCCAATATTCTCCCCCTGATCTTCAGGAGACTTTCACTGCTGTAGTAAGTTTAGGAGTGAAATTGCAGATCATGATGCTCTCATGGGCAATTTCCTTATCATTGGCTGTTATTTCCCATTCATGCACCTCTGTTCACACCTGACTCAGGTGGCGAGCTTGCTGCAGAGGATACATTATTTTGGGTTACAAAATGATAAGGGATAAAATGGAGGGGCTGGGTTATCAATGCCTTTAAATCTCATTACAGCTTGATACTCTTCAAGAGTGCTCCAGACACATGCATGGTACTTAAATGGTCCACTTCCCAATGAACAACTGTGTCAAGGCACACCATTTGTGATATATCAGGAGACAGTGCAACGTGGGGAGGCTGATTTCCAATTCAGTTGAACTACTTGTGGTACGAGAAAAGGGTTGTGGCGATTTTCAGTGACTCCAGTATAAAAATCTCGTGAAAATGTTCACATAATTCTCTTCTCAGAAACAGAATCACAGATTCCACTGCTGTCTCACGCAGTTATGTTTAATTAACAATGGAATAACAGCCTAGCGACTGATTAAGTGGGTGATTATTCATTATCAAACCACACAGATGATGTCATCAAATTATCATTGGGATGTGACAAAGGGACCATTGGGAAGGCAGATTTGCCAAAGGGATCCATTAAAAACAACCGAGTAGAATGATACGGAGGATGCCTGGCACATACAGTATACATTATAAAGTGATGACATCATTTGGGAGATGAGGAGAAAAGTACTCTAGTCAACGTTTAGTTAGGATCTGGACCCAGGCCTTGTACGTTGTATACTATACATTAATCACCAAATACTTGCAAAGGGAACAATGCTGAATACAGTTTTTGATTTAGAAAGCCATTAATTGTGCTCACAGCATCCTCTTTCAGCTGTCATGGTCATGCCTACAATTCTGGTTATTTAGTCTAATTTTCTTATCTGTAACGAAAGCATGTTCATCGCTCAATGTAATGTAATGTAATAGAATGATGTTGACATTTAAATTGGTTCACTACAAGCCTCGCTTTCACCAAGAAAAGGCTGTGTGTTTTTGTTTTCATGCTAATCAGATCTTGAAAAGTCCCACACTGTAAAGTAAAGTATAAAAGTATAAAGTATTTAGATATGATCATGTATCATGGATGCAGCCCTGTGTACATGTGTCTAATGATGACATTGATGTGGGGTGTGTGAAGGTGTGTAAAGTTTTACCTTTTTTCGTCTCTGTACCATTCGAATTCTGGCGTGGGCACAGCCGTGGCGTCACATTGCAGCGTCCCCATGCGACCCACTGGAGTCTCTGAGCTCTGGGTTTTCTTTATTGTAGGAGGGTCTGCAGAGTCACACAAAGTTGGGTTTCATTTTAAAACCAATATCAACATCATGTTCCCACATCAACTTCCATTGCCCCTTTTTTTCTGTACCTTCTCATCATTTACAGTAGAGATGAAACTCATAAGCACATTTCCAGTAAATACACTGGAGCTGTTGTGTTGTAAATAAGATTAATATGACTTAAAACACAGTTCTTTAAGCGTTGATGATCTGTTAACTGATCAGTTTTCTTGCCAGCGGATCTCAAAGAGACAACACTCAACAGCAACTCACTGTGCCCTCACTTTCTGATTCATGTCATCTGGGTGTTTAAACTTTAATCGTAAAGCATCACACCAGTGAAATGATGCTTCAACACAAAGTTATTCACAGCTCATAGCAATGTAATATATTCCCTTGTAAAACTCCCACATTATTCGAGGAGCTAGGACGTGTCCTTCTTCTAATATGCATTTCAATGAGACGTGATTACAGCATTTTCTGTTTCCTTCAATTCCTGCAGATTTAATTAAAAGTCCCAGTCAAACAGTTGTAATGGCACATTTTGTAATTTGTTTATTTTCTCTCCGCATCAGAGCCAAGTTGGAAAAGTTCAATCTGCGTGTACATTTTTTATTGGTATTTTCATGTCATAGGTCTAAAAATCATGATAAAAAAAGACGTGACATCTACTCCAGATGCCTGTTATCGACAACCTGTTACAGTTGAATGTTAATTTACACAGTGAAAATTGAATGTGAAATAGCCATTTTACAACAATCAGTTAGAGTTTTGGAATGCTCAAATACAATTCTGGTATTTAAAGTTACAATTTTACGGTGTTATAATTTTAGAATGGTAAGATTACAATTTTAGAACGTTACAATTTAGAATTTGAAACGTTACAATTTACAATGTTTTAGAATTCTAAACTAAAAAGTATCCGGATAGAGTGCCGCAGTGACGCGTCCTAAAACCCGGAAGTAAACCCCTTCCGGTTCCTTCGACAAAACCATTGCAAGTTCTCCATAGGATTTTGGAAAATAGCTGGAAATAAGGTCTGTGGTTGACACACATTTAAGAGACGGATCACGTTTTGTTCAGCCGGATAATATCCACATGTCTACCCTACTTTTATCATTTTCTAATCATAAATCTAGTCACCAGAAGCAAAATGCTAACGTTATGCTATAAACTAACTACAGCAGGGTCGCTGCTTCAACGTCACGCCAATTTAATAATAATATATTTAATTTGTTAGCGCTTTTACAGGTGCTCAAAGACGCTTTACAGATATAGTGAAGAGAAAAGAAAAGAAAGGAACAACAAATAAATATATAGTTAAAGTTAAAGTCAAATAATACAAAAACAATCACACAGATTGAAGAGGTGAGTTTTTTGAAAGTGGTGAGGTCAGTGCAGTCTCTGATGGGTTGTGGGAGTGAGTTCCAGAGGGAGGGGGCAGCGACGGAGAAGGCTCTGTCCCCCCAGGTCCGGTGATTGATGCGGGTGGGGATGGATAGGAGGTTGGCTTCTGATGAGCGGAGGCAGCGGGAAGGGGTGTGGTGGTGCAGCAGGTCTGTGAGGTAGGGGTAACTAGGGGTAACTTAAGATCCATATTCCAAACTACAGATTCAAAAGTGTACGAGTTGAAGCGTTTGTTTTAACAGTTTGCAGGAGGCAGGTACTTGCTTCCAAGCAGAGCACAGGGAAAAACAAACTTAGCGGAGTGTTTACGTGTTCGGTGTAATGACGTAAAACGGCCTCGACAACTTCTATAGTCCTATTCAGCCACATGTTAACAACCATCGTTTTTCAGACACGTAAACTCGTCAAAAATCACCAGTGGGGTCACTGTTGATGGATTTAATGTCGTAGAACAAAACGTGATCCGTCTCTTCAATGTGTTTCAACCACAGACCTTATTTCGAGCTATTTTCCAAAATCCTGTGGAGAAATCCCATTGCTTTTTGTCGAAGGAGCCGGAAGTGGTAAAAATGCTAACTTACTTCCGGGTTTTAGGATGCGTCACTGTGGCACTCTATTAAATAATATTACAATCTAGAATGTTTATCAACGATATTTTAATGTAAAGTTACAATTTTAGAATGTAATATCATTAATATTACTGCTATAATTATCCTAATTGTTGATGATTTATACAAACACTACAAAAGAACAACCATAAATAAGTCTGATGTGGATATATATCTGTTTTACATTTAAGATGAAATATGAAATATGGTTTCATATACATCTATGTTATTTTTTCAGGAACAAATTGGGCAGCAAGGCAGACGTGATTTGTTCGGATCAAAGACAATTCTATATCTTGGTTTATATCTCATAAGGTGTTTATCAATCCAACGCATGCATTACACTCGTCAGATCTAACATGGACCCCTGACACGATGTAATGAGGTGATCTTGTTTTGAAAGGCTTAGTGTCTCTTGAATGATGAAGGTATGTGAGAATCCCCATGAACACAGCAGTTGCAATCAAAGCTGGAGATCTTTTCCCTTCAACTTAGATTCATCTTGAGAAGAGTGAAGGGTGCTCCAAAACCTTGAAGATAGAGCCATCACCTCTCTGCCACACTCTACTCCCCATATTTTCATTTAATAAATCCAGCCTTGACTTCAATATGATTTTATCTGTTAAGTTTATCATCTTGTGAAAATTCTGACATGAAACGTGGAGAGCATAATAATCATTGTTCGGTATTGACTACAGAAATCGATGCAGTGTTTGCGGTTACTTACAGCTGACAACCACATTGACGTATTTGACATCAGGTGTGGCAACGTCATTGCTGGCCTTGCATTCATAACGACCCGCTTGGTTTCGCATGATACCTATAATGTCCAGGTATTCTTCTCCATCCAATGGCTCTGCTGCAGAGGGTTGGGAAGAGAAGAGAAGAAGGGTTAGAGAGAGACAAAAGGAAGAGGAAAACAGTTGGTAAAAAGGAGAGAGGAAAGGAAAGGAAGTGGGATAAAGACAAATTGACAAAATGTCCATATATTTATCCCACTGACTCTTAACCACCATTATCTATTATTTGAAATAGCAGCGCACTAATTCTAATCACTAAGCAGTATACATGAGAATACTCTGCTGTATGTTCTATGTTTATTAAGAATTAGTTGTTCACATTTATCTTTAAGATGTTTTATATTTTGACAGATGTATGTTTAATATCACTCCTTCTGCTATAGAAACTGAGCATTCATTTAATTGTATTCAGGAAATGACAAATAAGAATATATGCTTTTCTATTTTTACCCCTTTTAAACTAGGCATGGCTACCATCAGACGTTGTTCAACACAGCACTCAGTTTGAAAATGTCTGAAGCTTTTAAGCCCACTGAGTCTTCCTTTTAATTAAGGGCTAAATAAAAAAGGCAGCAATTTGAACTACAGCGTCCTTCCATACTCATATTACCCAAATTAATTCAAACTCACAGTCAGGTCATGCTGGGAATGAGACTGAATGACTTCAATAGCTCCAAAACTGAGAGCCCATTTAATATTCAAGAATTTGTTAAGCTGACTTTTAAAAGTTGTTTATCTGAGAGTTTCAATTAACAGAGGTATCTGCAAATGTCAGACAAATCATCTGAACTGAATAGAAAAAAAACACAGAGACTATCAGACTAATTCTTTAATGAGCAATCCAGCTAATTAGCCATGTAAAGAACACAGCGTCTGGGTGTCTCATTAGAAATACCTGCAACGACTATTAAAGATATATGAGTGAGCCAGGACTGGAAAATAGCATTATTTTTTACTTGCTGCCATATTTATTGCACTTAATCTCTTTGTTGCAACTGAAAGCCATGGTGGAAAGACTTTGAGATATCATTATTTGTAATACGACACATCATTTATTTGGGAGATGTGTGACATTATTGGAAATCTTTGTTATAATTAATGCTGCATATGATAATACCACATGTTGATACACAATACAATAATGCACACAATACAATCAAACATCTATCCTACATACATTTTGACCTGATGAAAATTGCAATTACATAATATGGAATCATCTACTTGTATCCAGTAAATGCCAACAGTGCAAAGGACAGGGGTTCTCAAATATTTTGTTTATTACATGTTACTTGTTAGACGCTTTTATCCAAAGCGACTTACATACTCAATACTGTGGGCAATCCCGCAGGAGCAATTTGGGGTGAAGTGTCTCAGGGACACAACGACATGCTGAGTGCAGCGGGGTTTGAACCTGTGACCCCCTGAACCCAACACCAAGGCTCTATCCACTGCGCCACACGCCCCCCACTGCGGACCACTTTTTATTATCAAGGATTTTCGCAGACCACCTCATATGCAAACCGTAAAAATAAGTACATATATAAACGTAGTGCAAGATTCCAAGATTGACGGCGAAGATTAGCTGGTTTTAGGCTCTCGTTAGCCAGTGTCTCGTAGCACAGAACGAATACTGGCAAAGACTCATCTTCAGTGCCTGCGTAGGTAAATCCCAGTTCCAAGTAGTTCCCATGGTATTTTCTCTTAATCTTCCCTTTCTTTGTTTTTTTCTGCGGAATCTGGCTTGTAGATGCCTCCGACTCTCATTATCTTCATTAACGGTAACGTTAACCTCTTTTCTCTTCAGAGAACCTGATGCTAGCCACCGATCCATGTTTGTGGTATTTGCACGCGCACACGTAACCATGGGTAACCAGTGGTGAAATTAAGTGTTGTCCATAATTAACAATAAGAAATATCTGCGTTTTAACACTACGTTTATATATGTACTTATTTTTCAGTTTGCATATGAGGTGGTCCACCTGCAGTACCCTCGGACCACAGTTTGAGAACCGCTGCCCTAGGACAAAGCAAATGTAATAACTATCAATAAAATAAACTGTTTCTTCCCTTAATCTAAAAAATGATGGAACCCTGGCGGATCTCTGGGCTGAAAGGGGAAAACTCAGGGTTTGAAACAACATTAAATGTCAGTAGTCTCAATTATGTGCAAGTTCATGCTCATGTTCTGAGAGAGGGCTGCAAACTTTGTGAAACCGAAGCGCCGCGACCTGAGAAATGAACCGCCAACTTCAGAGACTCTGACACACAGCAGGAGGTGAGTCAAATAAAAGCTGTGCTATTATGAAGACAAAAAGAGAAAAAACAGTGCCGTTCCAAGCCGTAAAGCCCACAAAAACTGCTGGTAGCAACAAAACATCAGCCTGGCTTTGATACAGGATAGAAGCTCAAACTATCTACAGACCTGAGTCTGGCGTTTGAAAAAGAAAGAGAAAAACCTTAATGATCCAAATCAAGTGCATGATGGAGATAGAGGTCAGCTCATACAGTATTATTTCACATTGATTGGAAGATCAGTGGGATCATGATCAAAGTCTAAAGCAGATAATATCCAGCTCTCCCTGGACAAACTGCCAGAGTAAAGTGATTGGAGGTATGATGGAAAATCTGTTGCCATGGAAATTCTATTGAAGCTCAATCTCCTCTTGTTTTTTTTCGCAGAATACATAGAGAGAGAAAATCAGGTGACTGCGAAGATCAAAGAATAGAGAAGAGAGAAGAGAGGAGAATTCAAATGAGAGATGAGAAGAAGCTATTTTTTAAAGCAAAGCAATTAACTGTCAGTAATCTCACCTGGTGTGTTTAGAGAGCAGCTCAATCATAAAGGATGAATGGAACATGATGTATTGTCTAAAGAAACAATTAATTACATGTCATGCGCCTTTGTCTGTGCCCACAGGAGAATATAGCTTCCTGGACATGAAGTGTGTGCTTCACGTTATCTGTTAAATGAAGCGTAATGACGATAGATTGGTTAATCTAGTCTCGAGGGAATTTATTAGAGTGAACACGTTATTATGTGTGATTGTATGTGTGAGATGACACAGTGTCTCTATGGTGAGTATGACGTGTGCATGCATGAACTGGGATAAAGACACAATTCATTTAAAGGAATTCAGGAAGCAATGAAAGCAGGGTGACTAATTCAAAATGTGTTAGAAAAGATCCATGAATCCTGGCATTACAGTTTACTATATCATCACAATTCCATGGCAATCTGGAAACAGAGGGAGAGTGGGAGACAGAAAGGAGATAGTAGATTAAGTAAGGGACGGACAAGGAGTGAGTGACATTTCTTTAAACACATTTAATGTCTGAGTTGAAGATGTTGAGCAGATATAATTTCTATCACCTGTGCAAGCTTTCTTAGTTTTCATGGTTAACATTAAACATAAAGTACAGCTGATATACATTTTGAATGTATTTTGTTACTAAACAATCTTAGACAAATTAAAAGTCAGCAGGTTTCATCCTCTGGGAACACATTAAAGTCATCACCTGCATGCAGCTCAGAGTTCGAGTCCCTGCCAAACAGCAGTATGTTTGTGGCACACAACATGGGGAACCTCACCCGGCCCGGACACGGAAAGGATTGACAGCTCTTTCTATCAATAGCAATATGTTGCATGTATGTTTTGGTCATGTATACTTGTAGGAGTGTGGGGAAGGGGGAAAACTGTCAGAAGCATCAATGGGTTTCCGAATGAGGTGCCCAGAGGGAATAGTTGGCAAAACGTGGATTTTCTAATCTAAAAGAAAAACATTTACTCGGATAGAAAGACATTTGTGGCCGCAGAAATTGTTCTGGACCTCTGTGGAGTTTTATTAGACAAAGCGACCCCATGAACAAATATGGATACAAGCTCTTCTCTCTGAGTATGAATGCTTCACTGTGTGCCACCACTGGGATGCAGTTATCCTTAGGCAATGAAGAGTCATAATTTGTTCCAATTTTGTGCCTGTGATATTTTTATTTCAAGAGGTATCCAATTTTTGGCAGAATATCTCCTTTTTAGAATGAAGGTATTCAGAAAAATGTTTACCAAAACCACAAAAAAGCATAAACGAAAAATAACCTTTGCTATGATTATAGGGGATTTTTTGTTATAAAATGTTTTTTTGTTTTTGTGTTGAAAAGTTATACCTTCAATGTTTGTTATTGAAATGATGTGAATGGAAAAATACATGGAAAAATCACTCTGGTCCAAAAGGAAACTGTCATTTGAAACAATTTTACAAGTATGACTTACAGGAAAACATTTGCGAACAATTAAGTTATACACTAAGCTACATTCCAGCTGTTTTCAGCTAAATGAAGCACTTCAGCCAGCTTGTCTCTGTTTTCATTCACATTTGAAAGCTCATCAAATGAGTTGCAAAACAAGAAAAAAAAGTCTATAAAAGAAATATAGTGAATAGCACATGGGCATTGGCGGCATATCAATAAACAAATTAAATAAATACAAAAATTCCCTTTTAACGCACCTTTCACCTCTTCTTGGACACCAACACCAAAGTGCCATTCACTGATTTGCCAAGCAGCCTGGCACTTTCCATGATGAGGCATGAAAGACAGAGCATATAATTGCAGTCTTTTCCAACAGATTATACTGCAGTGTTGAAAGCCCTACAGCCTTTGGGATGTGCATGAGCAAGCTTTTGTAAGCAAGTTGGGAAACGTTAAGGGGCCTGGAAGAAGTACACTTCTACAAATGCCTTCTGGATAGTGATTTGCATTGCACTGGCAATTGTACGATTGTGTGAACAACAAGTTTTCCATGTAAATTAAAAATACACTGTAGGAGTGAGGGACACAAATGGGATGGAAGCACCAACACACATTGTTTGCGTCCGAGCATGCACAAACGCCTCCAACCCCCAGAGAACAACTATGAGAAAGAGAGAGAGAGGGAGGTGCAGAGGGATGTGAATCTAAAACCAGCCACTTCGGCTGCCAACTGGATGGCGCTCATTTGCATATCCTCATGCATCATTCATCAGCATCACTTTTCCACAGTGCGAAACATTACATTTATTTTGCAAATGTTAA